TTCGGGCTTTAACGTGAAAGGAAAGAAGAAAATAAGATTTCCGAACGTACCTATTTCGTCATTGCACAATAGGTCCATTTTGTTGTGGAATTTCGCAGATAATATAATAATCGAACTTGATCCGTGCATTTCATTGCCATAAACGTATTCTTCGAGTCTTTCCAACATTGCGAGTCTAAATACGTGTGCGAATTAGTATAGGAATAAATCATGGATACAACCTACGTGCTCGTTCTTAGTTGCTCTAGGAGCAGTATTAACCCTTTCGCTACTATGGGTGACTATAGTCACCAGCCACGAGACGCCATCTACACACGACAGATGACTATAGTCACCGGCCACGAGGCGCCATCTACACACGACGGGTGACTATAATCACCGGCCACGAGATGCCATTTACACACGACGGGTGACTATAGTCACCAGCCACGAGGTGCCATCTACACACGACGGGTGACTATAGTCACCGGCCACGAGGCGCCATCTACACACGACGGGTGACTATAGTCACCGGCCACGAGGTGCCATCTACACACGACGGGTGATTATAGTCACCGGCCACGAGGCACCATCTACTTACACACGGCGGGTGACTATAATCACCGGCCATGAGGCGCCATCTACACACGACGGGTGACTATAGTCATCGGCCACGGGGCGTCATTTATACACGACGGATGACTAAAAAGTCACCAGCCACGAGACGCCATCTACACACTACGGGTGACTATAGTCACCGGCCACGAAGCGCCATCTACTTACACTCGACGGGTGACTATAGTCACCAGCCACGAGACGCCATCTATACACTATAGTCACCGGCCACAGAAATTGAGTCAAAAATTAACCTAACCTAACCTAACCTAGCCAAGTGCTACTGTTCTTCTTAGCTCTCTTGGCGAAGAATTGCGAGCTCTATTGCGATGGTCAGTTCTTCCTTTTCTTTTTTTCTTCAAAAGATTTGCGACAAAAGACCAAATGCTAAAGACGCTGCACGATCGTAATGTTTTCATCTTTGACACATCGCTTCGTTCTACGGGAGGGACTTCACGGTCAACCGCGCCGTAGCGAAAGGGTTCATCCTCAAGACTACGTTCAAGCTCAACCTTGTCACGTCGCGACGCCCTGAAGATAAGATTATTACCACCATAGGATTACGGAAGTCTCCGAAACCTCATAAGGTGGATTTCACACCTCTTATTTCCATGACGTGGTGAATTAGTGTCGAGGAAAATGCAAACATACCGTCAGTCTTGATATTACGGTTACACCCATCTTTATCTGATCGCTGGTACGGAAAGCAAGGATATAATACAAAGTACTCTACCAATTGAGCAGAAACCTAATAATACAAACCGAATATGCAGAAAATTTTCTAAGCATTCGTAGAGAAGATTGTTCTCACTCGATCTTGAAACGAGACACACGAGTATCTAAGTATTCGTTAAGTCCATACATCTCCAATCTTTTGGTGAGATCTCATACACAATATTTTCTTATCGTTCAAAGAGAAAGGCACACTCAATTACAATCGAAATCCACAGGTGTACAGGTCTAAATGCTCTGCATTTAGAATCGGTGGCTCAGTATTAGTTTTACAAGCAACAGTTGCAACCGTGACACAGATCTTTTACTGTTCGTTCATGGTTTATTCACTCGTAGTAATATCGATGAATAATCAGTGAAAAAATGCCTTAAAAAGCGTGATAAAATCGAAGACTATGAAACAGAAACTCCATCATCAAGTGAACACTATTTCATAACTCAGTCAGTGCTTTACGATCTCGTGGTAGTTAGCAAAATATGAGGCAGAACTTTCAAGATCCTGGCCACATGAATTGCTGTAGAACTTAGATGATCAGCATATAGATAAATCCAGTGGATGTAGTACTGTTTAGATTGCTATACTCAGTATTGTATTTTCAATTGACAATATCCTTAGCGATAATTGACCATATAATTGATAATTGATCCATTGATCACTCTAGAAATGCAATATAACATTGATGATCCATTTCAATTTGCTCTAAGGAAATTCAACAAAAATGACTTTTGTATATTGGGAGAACTTTGTGTCTGTAATGCTATGAGTGTTCTACATAAAAGAGTGTTAGCTACGTTTTCAACATTATCCACTGAAATGAAGCTTATTTATTGACTCTTCGAAAAACAGTTTAAAAGCTCTATAACTACACATGGGGAATTTACACTCTTTTGCCCTAATAGTATATTGAACAAGAATCGTTGGAGCAAGTGCATTGTGGAATTGATTACTGGGGATCCAACTATCAAAATGGAAAAGAAATGGTGTCATTATCTCAACAGATTGTACAAAATGTTGTTATTTCTTCTGAAAATGACGACAGCATGATGCTAAAAAAGATTAGACACGACATAAACTAATTCCATAGCAAAAGAATATGAAATATAATAACTTACTTGATTTTTGAGAAATATAATTACCGTCTTTGTATATTAAATATATACAGCGTGCCGAAAATATTGATAAATTAAGACCAAGATTTGCATATTTGAAAACTAATTCTTTTTCATTTGTGACAATGAAACTGAAAGAAGGTGTACTTCTTGGTCCCGAAATTCGGCATTTAATGAAAGACAAATAAATTTAAACAAAACTTATGGAACAATTAAATAGTGTATTTTATTTTATTTTATTTACACGTTTGTATACGAAAGTAAGCGTTGAAACAAAAATATCACGTAAATAACATGAAACGAAAATTCATATCTGGGAAGTACAATACAAAATTTAAATTAAACCGAATTTAAATAGAAATATGGAATCGGCAATTGTTCTACAAAATTCTAAAAAGTCTGATTATAATTGGCTCATAGTTGCGGTCACTGGTGCTCATTTTAATACTAATTTGTGTGCAACAAATCGTAGAAATCGATGTTGGGTATTTTCAATTTGCAGTTTGTACTTCGTCGCATGGGGTGACCAAATATTATACTTCACGCATAATCCAGATTCGACCTAATTAGAAAGCAATATAATCCAGATTTGACCTAATTAGAAAGCAATATAACACTCTAATACAATAAATATTGCTAAAGCATGACGCTACACGTCTCATCAGAGCAAGCGACCTATTCGCTCCCAGCACAATGAACTGATAGTGCGATGAGAAATCTAATAACGATGCGAAATGAAGGATCAAATTCTTAATTTCTGGTATACAAGATATTGGTTGACCGTTACGCGTGTACTCAAACACAATGGGGCTTAATTTTCCTGTTGGCCACATGAAACGACATTTATTATAATTGTACAGTATATTACTCGTTCTGCACCTATGCTTCATGTTAAACGAATCCATTTGCACTTTAATACGATAATTAATGCAAAATATATTTTAACACGTTGACTGCAGCGTCACCTGTAATTCTGGTGACAGCAAGAGTTCTCATCAGGCCGCGTCACCTGTAATTTGGGTGACAGCAAGAGTTCTTATCAGGCCGTTGCACCCGTATTCGTATGACGCTAATTTGACTACTGACAAAGGATTTCCGAAAATATTTGGACAAATATTCTACAGGAGAGTGGTAAGGTGACAAGTGAGGATCGTAACAATGTTGTATCGAAAGAAAGAGAAACAGACATGAGTCAGCAGCGCACGCTTCCTACAGCTGGCCTGACGGAGATTTCGTTGTAAACACGCGTGGCAGTCAACATGTTGAAGGAGTTCAAAATCGTTTTCGACAAATAACAGTGAACGATGCTGATGCACAGGCGACGGGTCATTGATGAAAAATAGCAACTGAAGGGGTCCTAGAAGAGAACTTAGGGAACATAGAAGAGAACTCAGGGGACATAGAAGAGAACTCAGGGGTCCTAGAAGAGAACTTAGGGAACATAGAAGAGAACTCAGGGGACATAGAAGAGAACTCAGGGGTCCTAGAAGAGAACTTAGGGAACATAGAAGAGAATTCAGAGGTCCTAGAGTAACTTCAGAAGAAGCAGCAATCGTACTAGGTGCAAACCCTCGGCATCCTGCTATTCAAGCAGCTCTCACTAGCCGTGACAGAAGAGGATCTCTATATCCAAGTCTTTTTAATTCCCTGGCTACTATGGGCGTTTAGAAATTTTGCGTTTGTGACACGGAGGACGCCTATGAGCTCTTAGAAATTTTGCGTTTGCGACACGCAGGGCGCCTATAGGCGCTCGGCGTAGTTTGGCTTTCTGACACGGAGGGCGCTTGTTTTCACGAAAATGGCGCGCATCATAACTCAATTCCTGCCGTATGGTACGGCCGCTGCGTATCAAAATCTGCCGTAGTCAAGGGGTTAAATCACTGTGAATGATATTTACCTTTTCATTGTATTCAAGTTCCTGGGATTTATATGTACAATATTCAACGAGGTTGGTAACAACAGAAAAATTTGGCATGAATCTATGTTCTCCATAAATCACTCCAGTAATAGAGAATTTAACTACTGGACATATCTAACATATCTACTATTAAACTGTCAAACACTCTGAGTATGATATCAATAATCAGAAACAAACGCATCTACAGTTTCTCACATCTGTCTGATTTCTGGATTTAAAAATAGAAGAGGATAATTTACTGATGGAATGTACTGGTCTCCATACTGATTTCAAGATTTTTAATTGTCGATTCAAGCTTGTTCACTATATTATTAGAGATGTACCTATTTGACGTATCAGTAGCTGGTTTTGATTTCACCTCATTCAATTATCGTTACTAATTTTCGAGTCTATCAATTTAGACAAGGTGATAATGCAATTAGATCAGTCGTTGTTAAATTACTACGCTTCGAAAGCATACCAAGTTGCCATGAATGAGTACAACGTGCTAATCTTATATTAGGATCCTAATGTGAAGAAATTCCACACGATGCGCAAATTGAGGGATCGACGACTTGTCCTAGATAGCATCCTTTGCAAATCTGTTTTTCAATGGAGCCATGATATCTGGTAATTGATAATGCAGATTTTCCAGGATAAATGCTAAATGAGGAACATTGGCGGAGGTCAAGCAAACACCAACGTAAACACCATAGTATTAGTGTATACTTATACATGAACTGGTAGCAGCAAGGAAATTAGTCATAGAATATCGAAGTTATGCAAGTTCATTAATAAGAACGATTTATAGCTCGAAAACAGCTTTTCGATGGTGTCCGATACAGAAACAAGCTGTGCACCTAAATATTATACGACACCAAAATACAACTTAAAATCTACTAAAGCAACTGTGAGTACGTTCGCACTGTTCCATAACCTTAATTGTCAATAATTTACAAAAAGACAGTTTGGCTCTGTTTCCTAAAAATGGTAAAAAATTTCCTATAATAAATAACAAATAAGAGTCAAGAAATTATGTTATTATGAACTATTAACAGCTAAAATCTTACATAAGTGCACCAAAGTACTTCTAGAATGAAAAGCCGATATCAAGATATCTAGGTGTTGAAGTAATGTTTGGAATACCAATACCAGGTTATACGAATTACAACTTTTAATATGAAAGAAATATTTTTATATGAAAGAAATAATCATATTTTATAACTGGTTGCTCTCGATACGATAGAAATTACACGCGTCTGTTTTTACGGACTAGTTGCCACAATGCTTGGAAGAAGAGGAAAGGAACTGAAAAGCAGAAACTACATAAAGTAAAGAAGAGACACTCTAGTACATAAATGCGTTCGTTTCGCCCGTTTGTTTATTTTTGTGATTAATTATTCGCAATACAAGAAAAATATACAGTTGCAATGTTGTTGGTAGACTATTGGTAGACGTTGATGTGTGATTAAGAAGGACGTAACAAATGGCAAATGAAACACATACATTTTTAACCCTTTGCACTCGAGAGGCGACCCTCAGTCGCCATTTTAATCGGATTCGAAAGATCGATGTTAATTGATATATCAAATTTAAAATTACCCAACGATGCGTGGAATGTCGAAATAAAATAATTCTATGTTTTAATTTGTTTTTTAATACGATTTCTTATTTACCGTTTTGAAAATATCGTTGACTTTCTGGCAGAGAGTCTTCCATTTTACTATTTTTCTGTAAACGAAAAAATCGTCGAGTGCAAAAGGTTATGTTTACATGCATGAATGATTTCACAGATAATTCTTTCTTTTCATAATTCTGCTTTATTTTTTGGCCCAAATCGAAAATAATTAACACGATTCTTAATCATTTTGCGATAAATCTATTACATTTTGATTTAATTATGAGAAATTGTGCACTGTAAAATTATTTAATTTTAATTAGCCACTATGTATTTGTTTTATTTACAGTATAATTATAAATTTTGTTTGAAATTTATACAAATTTTGTGCATGTTTAAATTTTAGTTTTATGCCAATGTAATTTATCTTTTTGAAGTTTGAGATGAAAAACTTATATGAATTAGATTTACTATTGTACTATAGGGGGTTCATACGTAGGAATACGTGAAAAAATCTATCATTATTACGTGCATGTCTATATCGAATTATGGCACTATCTATGTTGATTATGCACGTGATCAACTGGAATTTTTATTGCTCGTTACTACACAATTGTGCAAAGAAAAATAGACAAAATGCATTTGTAACTATATTTAAAATTAGACAGAAAACAGATATACACCTAATTCTGTTTTTACACGATAGATACGTTCCCGAAGAATACGTGTAAAAAAATATATTGCATCTATGGAAAAATAAAAGATTGGTTGCAGTCCCAAGAAATTAGCAAAAATAATACAATAAACCATGAGTTTTCATGTTAGGATCTTAAACATTTTATTTCATAAAGATTGCACATGTATCGTACAAAGTAAATAATCATTTGAAAAGGAAAAAAACGTGTCACTAATTCATGAACACAAAAATTAGGCAAGATAATATGAGTTACACGTAAAAAGATTTTATTCGTTGTCACTTTCTGACAATAAACGCATACGTTTGCATAAGACTGCAATATTACTGCTATCGCTAGAAATGTCTTGGTTATCGTCTTCGTGCTCCATTGCTGAAATTCTTTCTGTAATCTCTTGAACAAAATTAGGACTGGCCTCCTGTGGTGCCGATGTTTCAGTGGATTTAAGAACGAATTCGGTAATTAATCGTTGTGTTTGTGTTTTGATTAGGCCAAAACTTTGGGTCGATCGTGTTAAATCGAAATAAGTCGTGTAAAAAGAGAATTAAATTTTTTTCCTAATTCGTGTTAAATCAAAATCGTGTGAAAGAAGTTCTTGTAAAAACAGAATTAGGTGTATTGTGAATGAAACTACATCTAAAAACTCTATATCGCACTGTTGATTTTCGTAAGTTCCGTAAAATCACGCACGGGGTTGCCTAGCCCGACCTCTGTTGGACGTTCTTTGCACTTCCCTTGGTGTCCCGCGTACATTTGAATTGCAATGCACGGTTATGGTACAGTCGAGCCGAGATAGATGAGCAATGGAAGCGATCTCACAGCAGCAAAACAACGTATGACAAATATTCTCTCGATTTGTATGAATTGAAAACTGCTTCTCGATGATTCCTTTTTTAAATATGTCTAATCCGATATTGTATAGTAAATTCGTGCTACGTAAACAACGTTCTGAAAAAATGCAAATGCAATTATGTAACTAACGTTTCGTAAAAATGCAACATAGAAACTGCGTATATAGACGTTCTTTTCGAACGAATTTCTATTAAAACATATACAAAATAAATATAGAAAATATACAAATATACAAAAGAAATATACAAAATAAATATAATAAAGAAATACAAAAACATATGTGTCAGTATTATATTGTATTATATTTGTGGGGGGGGGTCCTCCCCCACCATTGCTTGACGTCGGCTGTGGCAGGTATCCTCGGTGGTAGGTAGCTAGAAGGGACGGTAGGAAAAGGAAGGGATGCATTTCGTCCCGGGCCTACTAGCGGACTCATCAGTAAGGCTTGCTTAGCAGGCCCTGCCTTAGACACTGGGGATACTATTGGAAAGACTGGAAGTTATATATATAGGAAACTGGGAGTTTCCCGAGGACTTGCGGGAAAGTCCTTGAAGGCGGAATCCATCTAGTGGCGAGGGCGAGAATGATGGTCGCTACATATTGTATTGTATTGTAACCAATATTGACGGCGCAATTTTTTCTTGGTTAATCGACCATCATTACTTGTTTCTAACATTATATATATATATATCTTTTTACTACTTCTGTACATTTTTCTTGCTTAAAACGTTGAATGCCATAGGGGTCACCGGTGACCGGCGCGCCCAGATTGATAGAAATATATTTAATTTAAACAAATGTCAATATTTAGAAATTTTTATTATTACCATCGTTAATTCAATGGTGACTGAATTGTCTCAATTGACATGTCAAACATGGTTGTACATTGTAATTTATCTGTTGCGTCGCGATTGAACCTTTGATGGATTCGGACGGGTTATAAATCCGTCTCGCGAACTCGCTGTGTTGCCCGTCAAATTAATATTGGGCAACTGTTTAACTCTTCCCCTAACTGTCTGCGATTGGTGATTTTGAGAAAATTATCACGTGACAGTCGTAGGGCACTCTTCGAAGGTTGGTCTGAACTGCTCTATCCAAAATTCGAGAACGTATCGACTCGATTGAATTTTACGATCGAACTGATGGATCAAATTCAAGAGTGAACTGATGGTGAATTGACGACGACTGAAGTCGAACTGGTCTCTCCGACGATTCGAAGAGAAGTGAGCTCCACGATTTTCCTAAGATCGGTCTTAGGAAAAATCGGGAGCTCGCCAAATATTATTGGCTGATTTGACCAACGGCGTTCCCTTGGTCCGCGAATCGGTCACCTCGAAGGAAGGGAAGGTTCCCCCAAACGAAGACGGTAGTGGAGGAAACCCTCTCCTCCAAGGTGAGGTACGTGGGGTCCACCCGCGCGCTGGGGTGACCCCATCGGCCGTTTATGGTCCCTAGCTAGGGCCTGAGGCTTCCAACGTGTGCAGACCACGTGGAGCCCTCAGGTCTATTGTCAGCCAAGTCTTAAGAGCCGTCGCCTAATTTCGTTAAATTAGGGATTTCCAGGATTCTCGTGTTCCGCGACACGAGAAGTCAGAATAAAAGCGAAGGCTTTCAAACATGCAGAAGGCATGGAGAGGAAAATTCCGATGTCGAATTGTTTAACCATAAAGACCTGGCTGTTAGAAGACCGTAACGGGTCTTCCTTGTTCCGCGACGGAATATTATCTATTGCAGATAATATTTCAACATTATTTATATTGCATAATAGAAAATTCATCGTGGCGTCACAGGCAATCCTTGTAAAACTGACGTGGCATCCAACGTGTTAATGAAATACATGTTCAAAATTCAAAATTCAGCAATTTGTTTTACGTTATCAATAAATAAGTACTAATTATTAATCAAATGAGTAATAATTGACGATTGTTGACTAACCAGGAAACAATTCCACCATCAACATTGGTTGGAGGCAACTGAAAAATTCTTCGCTATCGATAATGCTTATGGATAACCAAAATAAAATTTCGCTCCTTGATAATGCCTATTGTTAGCGAGGTGGATTTATAACGAATACGTACATATAATGTATTTATATATTTTATTCGATATTAACAAATATCACTACTTTGGTATAACTTTGTACTCTCTATATTTTCTCACGTTTTGCACTCACATTGTGCATTCCACAATATGTGGTCAACCTCCCAACCTCGTCCAGATACCTCTTTCTTTGTACTCTCTATATTTTCTCACGTTTTGCACTCACATTGTGCATTCCACAATATGTGGTCATGTGACCATTTAGGAACCTCCCAACCTCGTCCAGATACCTCTCGTACGACGAAAAGCCGCAGTTGGGCGAGACGTAACAGCCCACCACAATGACGTCCTCCCGGAGACCGCCACAAAGCCCACCGTGCTATGTAACAGCGCGGAAGTGGGAGTTCGTGGCAGTCCCCTGGATATTATTGCCACGGAGCCGTTCCGATCCCCGTACCACTCGTTGTGGTGGGGGATACGATAGGATTCTGCGGTAACAGTCAGCCCAACCTCTACCTCGGCGAGCGTCTGCAGGAGCAAGTCCTGCGCATGGAGGATTCTGGTCGACTTGAATTTTAAGCCGTTACCATGGCCTCTCCTTCAAGACCCTCATCTGTTGGGCCAACTGCGGACCCGTTGTACCGCCGATCGGCGGGCCCCGCGAAATCGCGGTCGCGTTCAAAATCACAGTCCCGGCCGTCGCCGGCCGAGGGGCCCCCTTCTCCACATTTGGTGGGAAGCACGTCTTGCTCCCAAGTCTGTAGTCGGAGGGGCGCTCGAGGCCGGCGCAGACCGGGCACTTGGATTCCACGGCTTGGCACCCACTGGCCAAGTGTCCCGAAGAGCTTTATCTGTAGCATACGGTGCTCTAGTCCACCTCGCTCATGCCCCACTGTCTAACGTGCCCAAATTCCAGACAGTGGAAGCATTGCAGCTTCCGAGCTGTGCTAGTACCTGAACGCGAGTGAACGTCCATTCGACCCGAATTCGCCCGCATTCAGCCATCTTCCTGGCAGCCGCGAGGGAGCACTGGACCCAGAGCGAGCCTAGTCCCGACGGGGAGGATCGGATCTCGCCGATCCTCACCTCTTTGCTCACAAAATTGAGCTACCTTTATGGTTTATTGAATAGTCTTTTGTATGCGATTTTTCACCCAGTCTTCGAATTCGAGTGCGTTCTGCATGGTCTTCTAATATTCGCATATTTTGCGATACAACGATTCCAAGTGCAGATCCGATACTTTTCCCAAATAACATTCTAGAAGCGTAACAATCCATTGTAAAGAGGAGAAACCGTGTTTTCTCCATGTTCCATCTCCCTGAACAATTAGTCCTCTTGCTTCTCATAAATTTTGTGCTGTTACTGCTGGACGTTTCTCCTCGGTAACCGGTTTCTTTGAATCATTCTTTGATTAAATATCGTGGAAATGTATTTTTTTGCATTAAGTGGTCCCATATATGTTCGTAATTGATACATAATTATCTACATCTAGAGATTGTGGCTGTGTTTTTAAGTATCATGGAACACTGCACACGCAGAACCAATAAATAAGGAGACTTTGTTTATGACAGAGGTATACATTTAATATAACCTGTTTTGTCGCGTCGCGATCGAATCGAATGCCCGCCAAATTAATCTTGGGCAACTGTTTAAGTTGTACGAACGTAAAGAAATCGTGTCTTCGACGTTTCGAAAAGAACGTGGCGTATTGTTGATTTGGAGAGAATTGATGTCTCTGACGTGTCGTACGTAAATGTTTGAGAGAGAACCGATGTCTCTGAGATCTCGAACGGAAGTGTTTGGAAAGAACCGATGTCTTTGAAGTCTCGAAAAGAAGTGAGCTCCTCGACCTTCCTAAAATCGGCCTTAGGAAAAATCGGGAGCTCGCCAAATGTAATTGGCTGTTTTTGACCAAGGGCGTTCCCTTGGTTCGCGTATCGGTGACCTTGGAGAAAGGGAAGGTTCCCCCAAAAAGAAAACGATAGTGGAGGAAACCCTCTTCTCCAAGGTGGGGTACGTGGGGTCCACCCGCGCGCTGGTGACCCCATCGGTCGTTTATTATCCCTAACTAGGGTCTGAGGCTTCCAACGTGTGCGGACCACGTGGAGTCCTCAGGCCTATTGTTAGCCAAGTCTTAAGAGCCGTCGCCTAATTTCGTTAAATTAGGGATTTCCAGGATTCTCGTGTTCCGCGACGCGAGAAGTCAAAGAAAAAGGGTAAAGCATTCAAACATGCTGAAGGCATGGAGCGGAAAATTCCTATGCCGAATTGTTTGACCCTAAGACCTGGCTGTTGGAAGACCGTAACGGGTCTTCTTTGTTCCACGACGGAACATAACCTTTAACGTCTTCCCATAACGGTGTTGAGACTACGATTGACTACCGGTATGACGCAATCCGGACAAAGTAACAAAGAAAAGATTGTCGCGAGACAGTCGTTTACACCGCGGAAAGAGCAGGTAGCGACATCTGGCGGACTTTCTCAGAGTTCACGCTAGCCGCCATGCTGTAGTCGCCATGCAAAGGCTCCGAACAGGAGTACATCTGCGGATCAAGCCCTTTGGTCTTTCAGATTTGTTCTTCGTTGTTTTGAAGCTCGTCCTGCGATGTTTCTCAAATATCCCTTTTAGTGTTGCACAACGATATATCGCGTGCGCTACACTTACGAAAAGTGCCAACGGCGATATATCGTTGCGTATGCGATGGCGCCTTATTCTTCGCTTTGCGAGAAAGCTCTATCTCAAAATAAATTTATAAAACGTTATAAACGGTCTAATTTCATTGCAAAAGAATTTAAAAAATTGTTTTCGGGTTTAATTTTTTGTTATATTCTATACTGGTTGCTGCCATGAAGTTATCCTTTCGTTCTCAGGACTGATATCGGTTATTTTATTAAAAATCATCGAAAATGTAATACTTATACTTCATACTACGTGACCTACATAAAACTGTGATCAAACGATGATTATTCTCATGTGCAAATATTATTTCTAGAATTCTAGAATTTCTATTATTTCTTGTTTCTATGTTTTTCATCGTGTTTTACATCGATGTTATTCGTACGATTTTCAATGAATATTGAAACACAATCGGTATTACATTATTCTCCTTTTTTTCAGTAATATGCTACATTTTGAATTTTTTAAGCATCATTCTTAGTTTCGATTTTATTAGTAAATTCGTCCGATTATCTCCGCATAGGCACCCGTTTTTCGCTCGACACTGAGAGGGATATACACCCTCAGAACTCTCCATCGTTTACAGTTTCTATACTTACATACTCATAGATTCTCGTGTTCCACGACACGAGAAGTCATAACAAAAGAGAGTTTTCAAACATGCAGAAGACATGAATCCCGAAATCTTTCTTTCAGTAATCTCCACAGATTCTCTATGCGATTGTGATCGGGGTCCGGTGCAGACCAATTCATAATAGAAATTTGCACACTTTTAACAGTGCGTAGGAAGGTGATACAGTAAAGGAGTACACAGGAATACATCGAGTTAACACCTTCTCTACTTTATTTATTTCTTTGTATCGTACAAGGTTTTTAATGCAGGAGATCTTGACTAGTTCGTCACTTGGAAAATACTGGCGGATTCTTCCTCCGATTTTACAAGCTCTCCCTAAAAACGCGAGAGACTCTGATTAGTTAACACCGAACTCGGGTTCGGCTCGTTAACCAATCAGGTATTTTCCGTGCAACTAATTGCGCCCCCTATTCCTTACGCCCTTGGCGCGTTTTTTGAAAAAGCGCGGGAGCGGTTGCGAAATTTGGTGACGTAGGGGGGTTTCCTCACGGGGCCGCGGCGCGGCTAAGGTTGCCTGCGGTCCCTTGGACCCTTCGGAGAATCCCCGGAGGCTTTATGGCACCCGCGTGGGCTGTTGAGGCCCGGACTGACTAGGTCCGAGGGTAGCAATACGTGCCGTCATAAAATTTTTGAATTTAGCTTAAAATGAAAAACGGCTTTCTCAAAAACAGCTACGTAGCAACGCGTCTCATAAATCCTCTCGACCCCCTTTTCTGCACGCCAAATGTTTCTTTGCATGTACGTGCCGAGAGCCGCTACAAGTGTGCTTAGAATCTAGATGATGCATGAAAATGAATAAATAATACAAATGAATGGTAAAATTAATAAAAAATAACAGTGAACACTACCAGAAAAGTGAAAAATGATAAAATCTCTTAACAATGGAATAGAAAAAGAAGTCAATTATAGATACATAATGATTTTTAATATGCTGAAATATTTCAGATATAACATATTATTGAATTAAAGAGGTATCGGCTAAGATAAACTTTTGTGAAAAATTATTATCCTAAATAGTTTTTTATTCTGAATTTGTAAAACGTAGGAATACTTATTGCTTCATAAAAATACACCGTTTTTCGGACTCTTCTCTTTATTTTTAAACGACAATTTACTACTTATTTCTCTTATAATACATCCGTCCTAGAAATTTGCAAGAATATGTAGAAATTTTTCGTGTAAGAACAAGTAGTTACGAAGTACTTTTTGGAAGTTTTAGATAAATGAATACTTTTTATACTTACTGTATATTGCACAAAATTAAAATTACCGATCACATAGAAAGAAGTCTACCCCTTATAGAACTTCGAGAGACCTTTGTTGGTATAGTAACGGTTAAAGGAACCAATTTTCCTTAGTATAATATTTTAAAATATTTTAAAGTAATCAGTATTAATTTAATTTAAAATATATTTTTATTTCTCTGTTTCGTATGCTCATTTTATATTAGATGTTATTAATATAAAATCGGATATACGTTTAAGCCGAGCATAAAGGATACTTAGTCTCGTAGCATGTTCCATCTTTTACCGAATTTCTTATATTTGAAGTTACGAAATTTTCTTTCATAATTAGATACGCCATTTATGCGTTACCCGCGGAAGAAGCACATAATGACGCTTGGATAAGAAATGCAAGTTTAGTTGTGGTTTGCGGAAATGTTGGCAACGAGATTGGGAATCAAATCGTGGAGTACATACTTCTGGGTGGTAGACTTCTCGCTTTATGCTCCGATGTAATTCATATTTTACTTCCATCGTTTAAAACTGCCGAAGTAAGAGAAAACGAGCTCGTACACTTTTCTTATGGGAAGTGGAAGCACGTACGCATGATGCACCATATCTTCTGCTATCAGCCATCTCCTGCAAAGACAAGATTCTCGCAGGACCATGAAGACGTAAAGTAAGATTTTTACCTATTCCTATTTAATTAGTTTTTCTATTTAGAAGCCAAGATATGAAATGAAATGTAAATTAAACGTATCAGTTTATTAATGGCGACAGATATTAATCCATTAAACCTAACCTAACCTAACCTAACCTAATCCATTAAACCTAACCTAACCTAACCTAACCTAACCTAACCTAACCTAACCTAATCCATTAAAGTTTGCAAAACGTTATATCGTGTTATAGAGTTCTTCATATTATGGTTTGTGTACATACCTTGTGGAATATTCATATTTTGTACACTGTTTTTAGCTGTTTCAAATAAGATTAACCTTTTCGCTTCGGCAGTTCAGTCCGTTGAAGTACTGTCCCCGAACGGAAGCGCGCGCCAGAAATATGCACAATGTGCATGGTTTCTGTATATACGTTTTCCTAAGCCTTAATTAATTATTTATATTATTATTTATTAATTATAGGTAATATAGGCATTTATTTACAAAACTTTACGATAAAATGTTTAATATAATTAATAATGAAACACAAATTAATTATTTGGATACCGGATATATGAGCCGTTCACTGCACAAATTGATTAACTCCATAAAACAAAAAGTGGAGAAATGCAATGAAATAATGTATATTGTTTTTTAAAATTCCCTTTATAATTTAAATCGAAATAAATATCGTAGAATGCATAAATACAAATGTAACTTTCATCTAACGGTATATAAAATTTATAAGAAAAAATAACCAAAAGGTAATCGTTAGTAATGTTACCATTTTTATGTTACTGGTAGAGTTAATCGATTTGGCAAGTGGAAAAAGTAATAAATTTAAATTTTACTAAATTTTACTTAAATTCTGATAAGACGGCACTAAAAAATTCTCCGTTATCATTCATGGCTTGCTAATGCATTTGAGTTGCATTATTGCGATGATTTACATTAGAGTACGGAGTTAATCAAAGTGACCTCTGAAATAAATTATTTATTATTCAGTGGCCAAAAAATTTTTGTCGTTTAACGGTGTTGATCTTAATTACCAGGGAAAGTTATTATAAATATAAAAAGTTATGACTAGACCAAGTACTTTGACACTTAAATTTAAGATTTTTCAAAAATCGAGTTAATCGATTTGTGCAGTGAACAGTTCATATGAGACCAGGAGTCATCGCGCCCCCTATATGCGGGACTCGTACGTAAAAGTAATAGAGTGGATGTCGTCAATAGGCGGCGCTCAAAGCAAAAGGGTTGATCAAAAAATATTTGGGAAAATTAAAACAATTTTATACTGTTTAAGTACTGTCATCTCATAGTATAACTTTTTTTTTTTTACAAATACAGAGGGGAATTTGAGAAGTGCAACTGCACTTTTCTCTAAATGATCGTAATCGTGAAACATTCAAATATGTTGGAGGTTAGGATTCTACGTGGATAATGAATGATTGAAACAGAGGTTTAATGCTTATGGATTTAATATAAATATAAAAATGATTGTATAACATAAATAACTAAAGAAAAACTCTATCTATTTATATATGTATATTAATATTCTGTACGTAGATCTTAATGCTATCTTTGGATTTTACTTTTACTTTTAATATACTGCACACACCATGCTTAATGTACGAAACAATTGACACTCGTGCTCATTCTCTCTCACTCATCTACAATTGCCGCTTCTCGTTCACTCTTCCACAGTTGTCGGTTCTCGTTCACTCGTCATTCATACCAATCGAAACACTGCTATCAACAAAATATTTATAAGATTTCAAAGAACATGAAATATTTAAAATATGATTAATTTTTTTACACTGGATACTAATATTTTTTGCGCAGAATGTTTTAAAATAGCGATTTTCAAGTTTTTCCATCTGATGACTTACATAAATTAAGCATTAAACTTCTGCAGCACACTGAAAAATATATCTTTTGTTTATGTAACTCAATTATTAAAATCAGTTAATATAATTGTTCTCATTTTTTATTTTGAGCAACATTATGTTGTGAAAAATAATTGTTATAATATTTAAGTCTGATTTGATAACGATGAAGCGTCTTTCATTGTATTTTACCATATGTAGAAATTAATATCTATGGTCGAAAAGAATGCACTGAAATTCCCTAGTATTCTTTCCAAATAACTTTTCTTTCTCATACATGTAACACTATAAATATATACCATACTTTACTAATACTTTAAATTTCATTTCAAAATTGCTAATAGACTCGACTATTATTTGCTTATTACTTTTGTGAATGTTTAAAACCTTCAGTTTTCAAAAGATACTTTCAATTATGATACCTTTAGTTATTATCTTAATTATATGAAGTTGGTCAGTAGTATATACTTCCCAATTTAATTATACTTTTTAATAGGTGACAGATTTAAATAAAAATCTTAACTAATGGATATCTATAACTGTCAATTTCCAAAATTATTTATCTGAAATATGCACAAAATATTTTCTATTCTATATATATTTAGACCAATAAAAAAGTAATTTATTTTTTAAATTGATAAAGATTACGTTATCACCATAAACCTAGACGATTTCGTAGGTTTCCTACGTTAAATCATACCATTATGCTCTTATAATTGAGCAGGATGTCCCATTTTTTAAGTTAAAAGGCAAATAAGTTAAGAATGGGAAACAAAATCCTTAATCTCTCTTCAATATCATAGAATACATATGCAAGTACTTTTTTTAAACTGTGTACGAAATATTTTGTTGTATCTACTAAAATGAGACACCCTATATAATACAATTAATGACATTTAGTAGCATCATATACATTGTACTTTTTAACTTTAAAGGTTTTGAAAGACGTTTTATCGTTGCTCCATTAACCACTTGCACTACCAATAAACTCACGGTTCCGGTACCGTGCGCTACAGTATAACATGCGTAAGGTGTCACATTGACGCTGCACCGTGTCTGCGAGTGCAACCTTTAAACAGCGCCTCATTGCTTTGGTAGGGTCTTGTATAAAGAATTTTACACAAATATAAATGAATACTCACGACAACAATAACATTTTATTGATTAATAATCTATTCGACGCCGTGCACTCTAGAACTATAGCTTGAGAAATGAACGATCTGGTTGTTAGTCGACGTGCAGTCCACGTCATTTTTATTTCTGCGATAAATGCTTATCGACATGGTGTACACGTCGCTGGCGATTTTGGAACAAAAGCATCTCGACGTGCCTGGCACGTCTTTCTAGCGCAAGTGGTTAAGCTTGAAAATACTACAGAAATTACTTCCATACGGATTCAATGGACTTGAAAAGAAATTTACTCAAAATTTTCAACAACTCATAACTTAGGGCTATCCTAATGTGTAGCAATATGACAATGTTGCGATGATTCGAGTCGTTTCAAAAGTCTTTTTTCAGAGTATCTAGTGTGTCTCCACCAGCGTCGGTAGACGTGAAAGACAAGAAAGGAAATTTGCATTCGTTTGACCTGAAAGTACTCGGAACAGAAGAAACATGGCACACGCCGAGTATAATACTAGCGACGCTCCCGGAAAGTGGCGGGAAACTTGTTTTCTCTCAGATACATTTAGAAGTGGATCCAATGCAATATGAATTCGAGGAGAGTAAATTTAATGCTTTGAAGGAAAGCAATGCAACTAGACTGGAAATATTCAATGATCTGTTAAATGTACATCTTGGAATAGAACTTCGTAGCACTTCACAGAAAACTGCACCTGTAACTTATACACCAGCTTTCTTCTTGGGACGTCACGAGGTATGAACGATATTTGTTATTTTAGAAAGAAAAATTTGTTACGAGTATGTAATTTGAGTATTCTCTGATATACAACATTTTCAAACTAGAAAATGAAAATATATTTAAATTATATTCTTTTTGATTATGTATTTTTGTATTTTACAGTTAAAATTAGAAATGCTAGAGAGATTGAAGGACGCAATGCAAACAAGTGACACTTTAAAAATGTCGCAACTGGAAATTCACTTCTGTCGAAGTAGTACAGTTCCTCAACCGGCTTCATCTTCGTTTCTCCCCATTATGGTACACCAGTGTCCAGACAACTTCTCAACTGTAGAATATTTTGAGGTAATGTAATTCTTAAAGTAATTAATTAATTACAATAAATTTACTTTCATTTTTCATTTAACTCTTAACTTTTTTTCTCTATCTATATATAATTAAAGGAAACATTTGATAATGGGCAAGAGAACTCTTATGTAGTATTTTTACAAGCAAAAGCACGACGAAAAGAATAACAAAATTGCATTAATGGTTTGTTTTGAAGTTATAGACAGTTTAAATTCAATCAAAATCTTTTATTCTCTGAAAATCGCCATATACTATAGCATTCTAGGGTATATAGTGCATATAAGGTATATAGATCTCATAAACCCATACATAGTAATTAATGAAAGTATTCGAACGCTATATTTCCAGAAAATTCTTTAACCCAAAATTCTGATTTTAATAAAAGTTTGCATATATGTGAAGCATAATTGGTTATACATAAAGTAATTTTTTGACGGCAAAAAATGTTTTTGAAAAAGTGGATAAAATGAAAAATTAAAGTGGTAATAATAAACAGTATTTCACGGAACGGAAACTTTTAATACAGGGCCATAAAGCACGGAAAATTAAACTTTTTTATTTAGAAACTTCTACTTTATTGCATTCACTGAGTTTTAAACATTTCGTTCAAAAATCGGCGAACCAATTAACTATAGTAGCTTTCTGCTATTTTTGATCCGGTGAACCCTCTAAAATAAGGCAAGCACAACGATGAAAACGAACTATAGGTCATTTGGAATTCCCTAAAAAATTTATTCTTTCAGAAAATAAATTGAAAGATACAGAAAGTATATAATATACTTTCAGAAAATGAAATTAAAGAAAGTTAACTTTTTGAAGGTTCTAGACTAGAATACCCCCTTAACTCTAAATCCTATACATTAAAAGTATCCTACACTAGGAACTAAAAATGGCGTGAAAAGGACTGAAGAACATTGTACAAAGAGCAAGGGTATAGGGTGACTAACGTCTGAAACTAAGGGATGACTGTATACCCACTATTAAAGATGTGCTGGCATTTACAAAAGATTAGATGCGAATCAGTAGGTATATGACATTGCAGTCTTGTCATCACATGCATGACTAAAGAATTTTTGTACTTTCTTGAACTGTATGTTCTTAAAAGAATGTACGTTTAATTATCTAATTTTACTAATACGATGTAAATAGGCGCTTCAAATTATTTGGATTTAATAATATTAAAAAACTAAATTTTAACTAAAAGTTAATATATAATTGTATTCATCTTTTTGGTTTATTGTGTATGTTGTTTTTTGTCGTAGAACTTAACTTCTAAGGAATTGGGACGTTTAGTGATATACGCGGATGTATTGTCATCTTCTATGGACGTTTTAAATGGCCATCAGTTACAACACGGTTTAGCTGTTATTGTTCGTCAGCAAACAAAGGGAAGAGGTATGTATAAATATTTTATACACAGTGCTAATATTTGCTTTCTATAAAATTAAGCAAAACTCTGTGCAAAAAATTCTTTTTGTGTGTGTACAGTCTATTTAAATATCCCATGAAGTAAATAATTTTTCACCTAAATTAAATTACAGTGCTCAAATAGACTTTCTTTCATTTTTAAAATTATTTTAATTTTGTTTAGCAATCTAATAATGTTTAGCATCATCTTATAATTTATATAGTTAGCTATTTATAATTATAGTTATTTGTGGTCATTTTATTTCATATAATTAAAAAGATATGATAAAGTAATTAATGATGAAGAGAGAGTCAACAGAGGGACTATTAAAAATACTGAAACATTTGTTTTCTGTTATACTAATAATGAGTAGAACCCCCTGTATCAGGAGCTAATAGAGAGATAGAATATCTTCACAGGGAAATTTTCAATTGCTTCTTTTATGTTAAATATTTTATATTCAATTAGAGATTATCCATCACTTGTTTAATATTACATTTCAGTTATTCAAATAAAAATCAACAAGATTGGAGACTTATTTCAATCTTTTTGATCTCATCTATTTTGGCTGCTAAATTATTTAAATTTTACAATATAAGTAAATCTATAGACTTTACTACCATAGTTTTTAATAACTGTTTTCTGCACTGTAACTATCAGAATCCTTTGTGTTCTAAGTAACATGTATACTAAATGGTTCTTTTAAATAATAATTTGAATAATGTATATATGAAACAATATTAATGAAGTTGCATATATTTAAAAATTATTTATATTAAGTAATATCAAATAATTTAAAATAATATTAGCAATCTCTTATTCTAATATAATTACAAGTACATTGGTTTTAAGGAAGGAGTAAAAATATCTGGCTTAGTCCAATTGGATCCGCACTGTTTTCCTTACAAATTCATGTGCCTACTGATACAATTCTTGGAAGACGCATTTCAATTTTGCAACATTTAGTTTCTGTTGCAATTGTATCTGCATTTAAATCTTTGCCTGGATATGAGGTACGTGTTCATTATACCGTTATTACATTTTATAGATTTATTGTTGCCTTTTTTTTTTGAAACTTTTTTTATATGACTTACATAATTGGAATATATCATATTACTTGAATGGGAGTAAAATAAAATAATTACAGAAAAAATAAAATACTAAAACAATAAAAATGTTTTTAGTACAATAATAATGTTTTTTTATAAAACGGTGTTGCATATTTTAAGTAAATCAATTATTTTACATGTAATAGGGTCATGTTAATTATTTGATAGATGAACTACTTAATTTGATTTAATTCTACTTTTTGAATTAGCTTAAGAGGAAGTTCAGATCCAGATAACTGCTAAGTGAGTTTTATTTGAGAACTTTTTTTTGATGATATGACAAGAGATACTCATGAAATCTTTTGTATTATAATTATTAGTGCTATATTCATTAGTTAACATTAATATACTAATTCACTAACACTAACACTGATATTTAACAGTTAACACTATTGCAAGCAAATATATTAACAAATATATAGAAATATTGCTTATTTTGTTACTTATTTACATAATAATTTTCGCTTATTTTGGTTTGCCTATAAGGTCTACAAATATTTAATATCTCTCTACAAAAAAAAGTTTGTCAATTACTGATATTTTCTAAATAATAGAGTTTTGTATTAAGTAATAACATTGATACATTCAAATACAACTCTTCATTGAGTACAAAAATGTTTTTGGACCAATTTTCAAGAATTTAACATGTTATTGTCATGCATATCTTCCAAAAATATATAAAATATGTATATAGACAATACAAAGTAATATAAATATTTTATTAAGTAAAATCTTGTATTAAAAATTGGTTAATTTCAACATTACTTGGTAAAAAGACCCATCTGTACAACATTCTTTGTTATACTCTTCATGTCAAAATGTCATATTACAAACACAATATTACTATTGAATATATAGTCATTGCATATTATGATTGCATTGAAATAAACATTAAAAGTTAGAAGTAGAATATGAAAAATATAAAAGTTCTCAGCACTAAAAACACTTACAACTATATTAATGTAATATAAACTACTAATACAAACGAAACAAATGAAAAATAACAAGCAATTCCAGGAGTTTATTATATCTAATTTTCAGATTCCTCTTTATCAATTTTATTTCCTTCCCGTTTTCAAGACTTTTTTTTGTTACTATTACCATAATTTGATGTTTCCATTATCATGCTTATGATGTTAATTGAATTAACTTATAAAAACTACTCATTCCCTTTTCATCGTGTTTTCCAGTATCAAAGTTAAAATATCTCCCAAAATTAATAAATAATTCAATACTTTCTATACAAAGTCTTTTTATTACATGATTTACATAGATCAAAAAATATATTATTCCATTTAATAAAAGCATTCAATTATATTCATCTGAATTAATTATTGCTAAAATAGTCATTTATGAAATTCAAATTATATTCCTTATTTGACTATCTGATTTTTATAAATCAAATTTTAATTACGTTATAGTACTTATTAGATTCATATTTATGTTTAATCATATTTAAAATGTAGAACATCAGTTGCAATCAACATAAACATTAATTTTATTGTAATCTTAATCTTGAATTATAGGATATTGATCTAAGATTAAAGTGGCCTAATGATATTTATGCTGGTAATAATATCAAGATTGGTGGAGTGATTGTAGAGACGCATGTAATGTCACATCTTAACATTTGTAATGTTGGTAAGTATTAATACTGTTGCATGTTATATATATAAAAAAGATATAATTATCATTTTCAATTTGAATTATTGTCATTTTCAGGGGTTGGATTAAATCTATTCAATAAAAAACCTACACATTGCATCAATGATATAGTTAATGTATTTAACGAAATGTATCATAAACAGTTGAAAATGATATCATATGAGCAATACTTTGCTATTGTATTTAATGAGATTGAAAAATGGTTAGACACCATACAAAGTGATAATATAGATTCTTTTTTGTATAGATACTATACCTACTGGTTGCATAGGTAAGTTTTTGTTCTAAATATTTAAATTTGTTAATATTTACTTTTTGCCAATTTTATAACATCTATAACCTATGATAATATTATGTTTATCATCTATATATGCACATAAATTTTTTGACTTGTTTAATGTATTTTGTTAAATAAATATATTTTGCTACAGTATTATTTGTTCCACAATATTTTTTACATTTATATATGCAATTGATTAATTTTAATTTACAAATATACATATTTTAATATCATAATACTCTCTTACTTTACTTTTAATATTAACATATTCACAACTGATAATTTCACTAAGAATTGTAAAGTAGAAAGCCTCAAAATACTATAATTAAAACAATAATGAAAGTTTAAAATATATAAATTAAAACATTGTGCTTTTATTACATATTGTTATTCGTTGATATAAATACGAAAAATTTTTCTTTTTTCAAATTCACTTATAACTCACAACTAACCTCATGTAAAGATTACATAAGCCAGCGATCATTAATGAATAAATAACTGCTTAAATTTAAACTTTTGTATTAATTCCCAACTGTATTAAAAAATCATTTAAATCATTTAAAGAATTCATTATTTTTATATTTTTATTAGTTAACAGATTAATTGTAGTTAAATTATATTTTATATTTTTACAGCAATACACATGTAAAGGTATTATCAGCATCGGGGACGTCAGAAAATGTTACAATATTAGGTATAGATGATTATGGATATTTACGTGTTCGAGGAGAAGACAGAACGATATTAACTGTACATCCAGACGGTAATACTTTCGATTCCCTGAAGGGACTTATAGCTCCAAAGTGGTCATATTCAAATAGAATAACAAGTCCATCAAACGTATTTTAATACTTATTGTACACTATCATTCTTTTTTATTTTAATACATCATGTATATATTTTAACTTATTATAAAATGGATCTGAATCAAAAATTGATTATTTTAGTTTTAGTTTATTATTTATCATTTGCTTGTTCAGCAAATGGAATAGAATGTAAGCTGTTTTATTGTAACTGACTTCTTGCTATACAAGTCGATGTAATATTTCGTGCTAAAAAGAGAACATTAATAAAAATGTTGGTAAATAAATAAACCATTTGTTTGTGTTATTATTTATTGGCTGACCATGAAGTTTGAGGCTTTTATTTTACAAATGTATAATTAAGATTACAGTTAACTTGACGGTTGGCACCAGAATATAAAATTGTATTTGAAAAATGAGAAACCTTATAATCGGTAGCACACTATTCCACTTATTAATTTGTATTGTTTTTATCTCCTTATATATCGTTTCATATATTTATACATATATGTATATATTCACTCTAACATACAAACATACAACAAATTGTATTCAGATATTCGAATTTGTCTTAAAACTATATAACATGTTAATATCGCATGTGAATCATATACGCATGGATATTATAGTATCTAAAACGTAAAGTAAGAATAAATTGACCTTTGTTGTCTTTATGAAACTATCTATCAGGTCACCATTGCATTCATTATCAGAAGAGACTAATCAGGTGTATTTGAATTTGAATTATCTACTTATATAATACACTAATTTAATCACTATAACAATTGTAATAAATTCCAAAGCACACTGAGAAATGGATAAATTCTTTTTCTATCGATAAACCTTAAGTAAGGTTTGAGATAATCTCTGATTCTCATAACCGTTAGAACTGCGTAACCTTTAAATCCTATAATTGTTGCTTGTAGCTTGTAAACACTACTTTTACCACGAAATATTTTTGTATTGGCTCTATAATTTTCGTTGTCTACGCTTCTGCGACAATCAATTTTTCGCTTAATCTATACATAAATTTCAAGTAAACATCTTTGGTTGTTGTTTTCTTTTTATCTTGTGCAATTTAGTTGAGAAATTAAATTAATATCGTTTTTCATATCATCATGATTTAATATAAATATAAAAATGATTGTATAACATAAATAACTAAAGAAAAACTCTATCTATTTATATATGTATATTAATATTCTGTACGTAGATCTTAATGCTATCTTTGGATTTTACTTTTACTTTTAATATACTGCACACACCATGCTTAATGTACGAAACAATTGACACTCGTGCTCATTCTCTCTCACTCATCTACAATTGCCGCTTCTCGTTCACTCTTCCACAGTTGTCGGTTCTCGTTCACTCGTCATTCATACCAATCGAAACACTGCTATCAACAAAATATTTATAAGATTTCAAAGAACATGAAATATTTAAAATATGATTAATTTTTTTACACTGGATACTAATATTTTTTGCGCAGAATGTTTTAAAATAGCGATTTTCAAGTTTTTCCATCTGATGACTTACATAAATTAAGCATTAAACTTCTGCAGCACACTGAAAAATATATCTTTTGTTTATGTAACTCAATTATTAAAATCAGTTAATATAATTGTTCTCATTTTTTATTTTGAGCAACATTATGTTGTGAAAAATAATTGTTATAATATTTAAGTCTGATTTGATAACGATGAAGCGTCTTTCATTGTATTTTACCATATGTAGAAATTAATATCTATGGTCGAAAAGAATGCACTGAAATTCCCTAGTATTCTTTCCAAATAACTTTTCTTTCTCATACATGTAACACTATAAATATATACCATACTTTACTAATACTTTAAATTTCATTTCAAAATTGCTAATAGACTCGACTATTATTTGCTTATTACTTTTGTGAATGTTTAAAACCTTCAGTTTTCAAAAGATACTTTCAATTATGATACCTTTAGTTATTATCTTAATTATATGAAGTTGGTCAGTAGTATATACTTCCCAATTTAATTATACTTTTTAATAGGTGACAGATTTAAATAAAAATCTTAACTAATGGATATCTATAACTGTCAATTTCCAAAATTATTTATCTGAAATATGCACAAAATATTTTCTATTCTATATATATTTAGACCAATAAAAAAGTAATTTATTTTTTAAATTGATAAAGATTACGTTATCACCATAAACCTAGACGATTTCGTAGGTTTCCTACGTTAAATCATACCATTATGCTCTTATAATTGAGCAGGATGTCCCATTTTTTAAGTTAAAAGGCAAATAAGTTAAGAATGGGAAACAAAATCCTTAATCTCTCTTCAATATCATAGAATACATATGCAAGTACTTTTTTTAAACTGTGTACGAAATATTTTGTTGTATCTACTAAAATGAGACACCCTATATAATACAATTAATGACATTTAGTAGCATCATATACATTGTACTTTTTAACTTTAAAGGTTTTGAAAGACGTTTTATCGTTGCTCCATTAACCACTTGCACTACCAATAAACTCACGGTTCCGGTACCGTGCGCTACAGTATAACATGCGTAAGGTGTCACATTGACGCTGCACCGTGTCTGCGAGTGCAACCTTTAAACAGCGCCTCATTGCTTTGGTAGGGTCTTGTATAAAGAATTTTACACAAATATAAATGAATACTCACGACAACAATAACATTTTATTGATTAATAATCTATTCGACGCCGTGCACTCTAGAACTATAGCTTGAGAAATGAACGATCTGGTTGTTAGTCGACGTGCAGTCCACGTCATTTTTATTTCTGCGATAAATGCTTATCGACATGGTGTACACGTCGCTGGCGATTTTGGAACAAAAGCATCTCGACGTGCCTGGCACGTCTTTCTAGCGCAAGTGGTTAAGCTTGAAAATACTACAGAAATTACTTCCATACGGATTCAATGGACTTGAAAAGAAATTTACTCAAAATTTTCAACAACTCATAACTTAGGGCTATCCTAATGTGTAGCAATATGACAATGTTGCGATGATTCGAGTCGTTTCAAAAGTCTTTTTTCAGAGTATCTAGTGTGTCTCCACCAGCGTCGGTAGACGTGAAAGACAAGAAAGGAAATTTGCATTCGTTTGACCTGAAAGTACTCGGAACAGAAGAAACATGGCACACGCCGAGTATAATACTAGCGACGCTCCCGGAAAGTGGCGGGAAACTTGTTTTCTCTCAGATACATTTAGAAGTGGATCCAATGCAATATGAATTCGAGGAGAGTAAATTTAATGCTTTGAAGGAAAGCAATGCAACTAGACTGGAAATATTCAATGATCTGTTAAATGTACATCTTGGAATAGAACTTCGTAGCACTTCACAGAAAACTGCACCTGTAACTTATACACCAGCTTTCTTCTTGGGACGTCACGAGGTATGAACGATATTTGTTATTTTAGAAAGAAAAATTTGTTACGAGTATGTAATTTGAGTATTCTCTGATATACAACATTTTCAAACTAGAAAATGAAAATATATTTAAATTATATTCTTTTTGATTATGTATTTTTGTATTTTACAGTTAAAATTAGAAATGCTAGAGAGATTGAAGGACGCAATGCAAACAAGTGACACTTTAAAAATGTCGCAACTGGAAATTCACTTCTGTCGAAGTAGTACAGTTCCTCAACCGGCTTCATCTTCGTTTCTCCCCATTATGGTACACCAGTGTCCAGACAACTTCTCAACTGTAGAATATTTTGAGGTAATGTAATTCTTAAAGTAATTAATTAATTACAATAAATTTACTTTCATTTTTCATTTAACTCTTAACTTTTTTTCTCTATCTATATATAATTAAAGGAAACATTTGATAATGGGCAAGAGAACTCTTATGTAGTATTTTTACAAGCAAAAGCACGACGAAAAGAATAACAAAATTGCATTAATGGTTTGTTTTGAAGTTATAGACAGTTTAAATTCAATCAAAATCTTTTATTCTCTGAAAATCGCCATATACTATAGCATTCTAGGGTATATAGTGCATATAAGGTATATAGATCTCATAAACCCATACATAGTAATTAATGAAAGTATTCGAACGCTATATTTCCAGAAAATTCTTTAACCCAAAATTCTGATTTTAATAAAAGTTTGCATATATGTGAAGCATAATTGGTTATACATAAAGTAATTTTTTGACGGCAAAAAATGTTTTTGAAAAAGTGGATAAAATGAAAAATTAAAGTGGTAATAATAAACAGTATTTCACGGAACGGAAACTTTTAATACAGGGCCATAAAGCACGGAAAATTAAACTTTTTTATTTAGAAACTTCTACTTTATTGCATTCACTGAGTTTTAAACATTTCGTTCAAAAATCGGCGAACCAATTAACTATAGTAGCTTTCTGCTATTTTTGATCCGGTGAACCCTCTAAAATAAGGCAAGCACAACGATGAAAACGAACTATAGGTCATTTGGAATTCCCTAAAAAATTTATTCTTTCAGAAAATAAATTGAAAGATACAGAAAGTATATAATATACTTTCAGAAAATGAAATTAAAGAAAGTTAACTTTTTGAAGGTTCTAGACTAGAATACCCCCTTAACTCTAAATCCTATACATTAAAAGTATCCTACACTAGGAACTAAAAATGGCGTGAAAAGGACTGAAGAACATTGTACAAAGAGCAAGGGTATAGGGTGACTAACGTCTGAAACTAAGGGATGACTGTATACCCACTATTAAAGATGTGCTGGCATTTACAAAAGATTAGATGCGAATCAGTAGGTATATGACATTGCAGTCTTGTCATCACATGCATGACTAAAGAATTTTTGTACTTTCTTGAACTGTATGTTCTTAAAAGAATGTACGTTTAATTATCTAATTTTACTAATACGATGTAAATAGGCGCTTCAAATTATTTGGATTTAATAATATTAAAAAACTAAATTTTAACTAAAAGTTAATATATAATTGTATTCATCTTTTTGGTTTATTGTGTATGTTGTTTTTTGTCGTAGAACTTAACTTCTAAGGAATTGGGACGTTTAGTGATATACGCG